TGCAAGAGGCAGCTGATCGATGATTCTCTCTCATCGATGTTTCTAACTCTCTATCCCTCTCTCTTCCTCTCTGTAAAAAATCAATACAATATATTAAAAAAAAAAAAAGATATATAATTGGTCATTGAAAAAGCATTGATCCCTTGTCTCCAGGAAGGCTCATTTCTGCTATACATGGATAGGGGAAAAGTAATCTCCTAAGTATAAAGTAAGAGAGTTTATGGACACATTTGAGCAATAGTAGGCTTGTCAGAAGCAGAGCTAAGTCACATATTCCTCAGATCAACAGTTCCTTTGTAGAGGTGGTCTCGGATTTATTCATTGTAACATCTCTAGGTGTTGGGCGCTACCATTATTCTGGGAGTGATTGTTAGTCATTGTTGGATGTAGCTGGTGAGACACCTAGTTAAGATAAGTGAACAACATAATTATAAAACCAATATGATCAAGGCCTGTAATACAGAATAAAGCCAGGTTCCTATTTCTGCAGGCAGCCAGCTAAATAAATCTGTCCAATCCCAACTTACAGGGTAATGTTCTGTCTGTTCAAGGGATTTTAATGTTTTGTATCAGAACCTCAAGCTATTGCATCACTTTATCTGATTTGTTAACATAAAAACAACATTCCTTTCCCAATAGGGCAAAGTACCACCTTGCTGGACAACTAGTACATCATTCCTTGTTGTTCTTCAAGAACAGATGTAATAGGGTGGGGTAGGAACCTGGTGGAGGGGGGAAGAAATGAGGAACCTTTTTTTAAATAATATGAACAATAAAGATTGATTTAAAAAAAATTTTATTCTTAAAAAAAAAAGAACAGATGTAATAACATTCCATGATTGTGCTATAAGAATAGAAAGATTTCTGATACAGACTTTACTAATTCAGCTACTCCATAACAAAGAAAAAAAAAAACGCTAGTGAAGGAATGCCTAAAGCCTTGCTGATCTATTATAGGGTTTCAGGTGAAAAGGTAAAAAGAAAAAAGATGATGCCCAAAATCCAAATTCTATTTGGTCCATTTTTGTCAAAGTTTATAGACAAAAGTGCCTCCACTGGGGCCAATGGCAGAGTAAGGGAGAGTCTTTCTGGTGACAGCATCAGGTACTAATATATGATAACAATACCACATCTGCCTCACCCCCAAATTAGCAAGGTGACATGTATTTGGGTCCCACACAAGAAGAAATACCTAGTGCCCCTAAATGAAAGTACATAATTAGGCCCTTAAACCCAGACTTTGAGGGAAGTATTAAGCTTATTTCTGAAGCAGGGACTTCATGTCCTCCATATGTTGGATGATCCTGATAATCATCAACACAGACAACATTAAAGTCATCATGAGATTAAAATAACACCCATTTATATATATTTGGGAGTTCCGTGGGAGGGCTCCAGGGCGTGTCTGGCCCATCTAGCCCAGTCTCGATTGGCCGGACTCCAGCAGCAAGCTAACCTACTGGTTGGAACGTCTGCCCTCTGGTTGTCAGTGTGTGTCATAACAACTGGTCAAATGGTCAAACAAATGGTTGGACATTTAGTATATTAGGCTTTTATTATATAGGATTGTTTTCCTATGAAACCATTTTTTCAGTGTTCCATTGAGTTAAGTCATGTACATATTGTAATATATTCTTCAGGGAAGAATGGTCAGTCATTTGGACCTATCCATAAGTTTTTTTTAGAAGAAACTTACAGCAATGCTTTAACCACTACTTTCTACTTTGTTGAACATCTAAATGCTAAGCTCCTATATCTTTTAAATCTCTAACTGCTTCAGTTGGTAGCATAGGTGCTTCCATTAGGGGCTGAGATTGTTTTAATGCTGCTAATTTAGCACCAGTGTCAGCCAAATGATTACTTTTATTTTTTATCCATGTTTGCCAATGTAAGTTCAGGGACTTTTATGACTGCTAAAGATTTAGGTAACTGGATAGCCTCTAAGAGTTCTAAAACATATGAACTTTTTAAATCTTATGTCTGGAAGAGCATACCAAAGTCATGGGCAACACCAAAAGCATACCTGCTTTAGTATAAATGTTAGCCATTTTAACAAATGCAAGCTCAAATTAATGCATAGAGCTCCTCTCGTTAAACAAAATTTCCTGAGTCATTTGTCTGGCCTCAATGGTCTCATGTAGAGACAAGTGCATAGCCTACTTGATAGCAGCCTATTTTTATATTCCAGATAAGAATCATCAGTACATCAAACCAATTCAGCATTTTCAAGAAGTGTTTTCTGTAAATCAATTTGAGGAGTTAGTAGTTGGTCTTAATGTCAGGCAGTCATGATGAATTTTGTTGAAGAACAGAGGAAGGAGAGTAGCAGGATTGGGTATTACACAGAGCTATAGTCACAGTAGATGAAGACAGTAAAGGAATTTCACAGGAGGTTAGTCTGCTAGCAGAGAGGTGTGAAGTATGATCAAAATTAAGTAAGGCTTGCACTGAATGAGGCACATGCAGAATCAGTGGAGAGCCTTTTATTTATCTATTCTACATTTTATAGTGAATTGGCAGTGGCCACAACGGCTCTCATACAGGGAGAGTGACCTTTGACCACTGGATCTAATCGTTAACAATAGTATCCAATGGGCCCATGTTGACTTCCATCCCCTTGGGTCAAGACACCTAAGGCATTTACCTCTCAAAGAACTGTTCAAATTCACCCTTCTCATTTCCCTACTACTCAAAACACTCTAATGTGGTGTATGACACCAATCCGGCATAGATCTGCTCTTGCCAGTGCTACTAATGAGTCCTGGTTCTTATCCAAACATGACCTGTTGGCAGCTTGTCACCTCCTGTCCCCGTCTACCATCTCAACACATACCCCTGGTTGGCAGTCTCTGAGACAGCCTCCCAAGATCCCCCTCCTTGACAGTGGGCTAAACCTAATGACTGACTTCTAACAAACAGGGAATGGCAAAAGTGATGGAATGTCACCTCTGAGACATGGCTTCTGTCTTGTATGGCCTCTTTCACTGCTCAGTGCAAAGCCAGCTGCCATATTGTGAGGTGCCCCATGGAGAGGTCCACATGGCAAGGAACTTAGGAGGCCCCCACCCAAGAGCCAGTGTGAAACTGAGTCCTCATCAAACAGACAAGGAAGAACTGAAACCGGCCACATGAGGGAGCTTGGAAGCAGGGCCTCCCTGAGCTGAGCCATGAGTGCAGCACCACAGGTGCAGCCAGCGAGAGACCTTGAGGCAGAGGCACCAGCCATGAACCCACAACCAGATCACAGCCACAGAGATAATATGCAGTAATTGTTTTAGCCTGTTAGATTCCCAGGTAATTTGTTATGCTTAAATAGATAAATAATACAATCCCATCCATCATTTCTTCTCTGGTTTCTCCCTCTGCAGCTCCCAGTATCCCAACTCCTGCCCAGCATCCTTTGTTGGTGCCTCTTAACTATTAGGGTTTCCCAGGTCCCCTCTTCTCTCCTCTCTGCACTCACTATCTGGTTATCCAACCACTCCTAAGGCTGGCAGTTGCCCAAACTCCTTCTGGAGCCCCACCCATAAATGAATATCAAATGGCATCCTGGAGAGCTGCACTCAGGACCCATGTTAATGCAGCCAGAAACAAACTCATCCTCTTTTTCCCAAAACTTACTTGTCTTCCTCTTGCATTCTATGTGTCAGAGGTGGTGCCATCCTTCTCTTAGTCACCTAAACCAGAATCCCGGTGTCATCCTGGATGCCTCCCTTTAGCTGTCCTTACTCCCTAAGGCTGATAGACTCCATCTCCTAAATATTCCTTGAATATTTTTAGTCTTCATAGTCTCCCCTGCCCTATATTCTGGGTCCTATCCAGAGGTGCTGGTTCACTGCACTGAAGTACCAAGAGGGCTGACATCCATCCTTGCCCGGCTCACCAAGGGTCCTCCCTTAGCCTGCACTGCCTGTAAGTGGAGGAAAAAATCGCAGCAACCGCCTCCAACCTGGTTCGATCCACTTCCACACAGTGGCAGCCGGGGGGGATTCTCCTAAAACCCACACTACTCATCTAACCTGCTCAAAACTCTTCCGTGGCTCTCCACTGCTCTCGGGGATGAAGCTCCAACTCCCTAGAATGACTTGGGAGATCTTCCTGACCTTGGCTCTCCAACCTCAAGTCTTGCCCTTTTCTGAGCATTGCTTGCAGATACTCACTGTGCCATCCATGCAGCCTACATCTTTAAAACAGTCGTTCTTTAACCTGGTACATCCCTGCATTTTGCTCCTCTGGGTGAGGATAACGTCTACCGTAACATCAGAAATGGCTTCCTGCCCAGCTGGTGTGGTCCAGAGCTTGAGCACTGACCCATGAACCAAGAGGTCGCTGGTTCCATTCCAGTGAGGGCACATTCCAGGGTCGAGAGCTCCATCCCCAGTAAAGGGAGTGCAGGAGGCAGCCGACCAATGATTCCCTCTTATCATCTCTCCTTCCCTCCCTCCCTCTTTCCCTCCTTTCTCTAAAATCAATAAAAACATACAATACACACAAAAAGTGACTTCCCTCAATTCCGCATAATTTAGGTGCTTTGAAGTATTCAGCCCGAGAGAGCTTTTGGAGAAGCAGAAACTGAAGCTGAAACGGATTTCCCACTCAGAAGACAGTTAAGACCTCAGAAAACAAAGCTCTGAACTTAAGTTGCCTCATCTATAGAACGGGCTAGGTCACGCAGCCAGCCCCCATTGCCCGCACCCGCAACTTCAGCTTCCAAACTGCTGGTCAGGCCAGTGCTGAGAGCCCGGCCACGTACGGCTCAGCTGGCGGCGGGGCTTCCAGTGTCACTGGCCCAGCCCGTCCGGGCGTCGTGGGCGGGGCCTCCGGGCGTCGTGGGCGGGGCCTCCCCCTTTGGAAGCCCGCTGCGCGCCGCGAGTCGCAAATGGACGCCGACGTCATGACGTCATGTTTCATCAGACGCCTCCTGGGGTGGCGGGTCACGTGAGCCACTTTTCGCGGGAAAACTGTTTTGCCGGAGCAGTGGAGAGGAGTGTGGCGCTAAAATGGCGGTGAGCGTGCGGGTGTGGGGCTTGTGGGTGGTCCCCGCGGCCCACAAATCAGTACCCCCTGAGGCGCGGGCGGTGGGGGGCGCGCGCCAGCAGCTGGGACAATTCTGGGGGGTGCGGCGCTGCTTGAGCTTAGGCCCTGCCCATGGCCCCCACCCCGCGCCGCCGGGGGTCGGTCCTTCGGATGAGGTTGGGCCCCTGGGCTCGGGTTTGGAGCTGATTTCTCTCGGAGTCTGCAAAGCTAGCGGGCCTGCGCCGCTCGAGTCCGGACGATGCTGGCTCCCGGTCCAGCTTGGGAGCGTCGGGCTCGCCGAGCGGAGCGCAGCCTGCCAGACCACTGTCACTTGTTCACTCCGCACATGCTTGTTGGGCCCCCTCTCTGTGCCTGGCAGCGGGGTGTAACACAAGACTGACAAGGTCCCGCAACTTCGTGCCCTTCTTATTGTAATACTTGTGTCTCTTTGTCTTGTTTATTGTTTGACCCGTCCCATAGTCTGTGAGCATCAAGACTTGTTGCGTTTTGTTTTGTTTTTAATAAATCTTTATTGTTGAAAGTATTACAAATGTCCCTGGTCTCACCACTCTTTTGTCTGTGGCCATGGAAGAGCTCTATTTTGCTTGCTTTTGTATCGCAGTTGTCTGGCACAATGTGGGTGCTCAAATGGGTGGGAATGCTTGCTTATGGGGAGGGACAAATGAGATATCCTCAGTGACTTGTCTTGGAGAAAAACTATTGTGAACGACCCAATGTTGGAGGAAGTGATGTTTGAGCTGGTTCCGGTGTGTTAAGCCCTTGGTTCAGCTCAGAGGAGAGCATTCTGTGTAAAGGAAACAGCATGTGCAGTCTTGAGGCTGGAAGGGATTTGGTGTGGTGGAGGACAGGATAACTGTAAGGAGACCACCTTATCCTAGAAAGCTAAGTCAGCCCTCACCTTCTTGGCCTTCTCTTGCAGGAATCATCTGAATCCTTCACCATTGCCTCCAGCCCTGCCCGCCGTCGGCAAAGTAATGATCCTCTCACCTCCAGCCCTGGGCGAAGCTCCCGGCGCACAGATGCCCTGACCTCCAGCCCTGGGCGAGACCTTCCTCCCTTTGAGGATGAGTCTGAGGGGCTATTAGGCACAGAGGCACCCTTAGAGGAAGAAGAAGAGGATGGAGAGGAGCTTATTGGAGATGGCATGGAGAGGTACTTTCATTCAAGGCCCTGTACTCAACAAATAGTTTTGTAGGGTGCCCACTGTGTGTCAGTGACCTTGCTTTGGGTGCTGGAAAAGCAGATAAATCAGAGCATCTTACTTTTGAGAGCATGTTGGTTCAGGGTCTGGGGAGAGACAAACAGCTTCTTGGGGCCACAGTGTAGGTCTTTGTAACTTGCTTTTTCTAAGACTGCACCTAAGGACAGGTTAAGCCCCAGCTCCATGAGGTGTGTGCCCCAGGAGATGTAAGGGGTCTCTAACCTGGAGGACCGGATCAGGGATGTCAAGTGGGAAGGATGGGAAGCAGGCAGCTGAGTGTTTTTCTGCAACTTCAGAGAAACAGGTGCTTATTAATCAATATTTAGATTCAATTTAGCAAACATTTATTGTGCCTAATCTGCACCAGGCCCTGTGTTATATACTTTCACACTTATTAGTAAACATATAAACATGTATTAAAGGTTATTGAGGTTTAATGCGAACACAGTGGAGTAAACTTTGTAAGAAAGCAGGGTTAGATTTCTACTGTCCTATCCTATACTTACAACGGGGACTTGGTAGGTACATCAGTAGTAGAATTGCATGAATATCAGGAGCCTCGTGAACAGTCTCCTCCTGAGACTTGGAGTTCCAGAATTGGTGTGTGTGAGAGAACTGTACAGGCCATTCCACAGTCCACAGGGAATGCTTTGTGAGCCATCCACAGACTGTCGAGGGCACTGAACCATTTAGATCTTTGCTTTAAGTGCTGTCATCCAGGCTGGGTGTGTAGTACATGCCAGACTGGAAGGAATGAGAAGTCTGGGACCAATCAACCCTGGACAAGTCCTTTCTTGTGTGCTGTGGAGTGGCTCAGGCAGTATCCCCCTCCTTCATCCTCTACCCTCTGTTTCCACCTCCCCTTCCTATTTGAGAACAAGAGGAGAGGCCCCTTGCAGGGGCCTCTGGATAGAGGTATGTGAGGGCTAGCTGGGCCCAATTAGACTGTGTTTATGGCTTTTTAATAAACATGTTTACTGTGCTACAGCTAGTATAGTATGTTAAATTTACCTGTTGTAAGAATACAATTCAGTGCTTTTTCCTCAATTTCCTGAGTTTGGCAACCATGACCACCGTCCATTTTTAGAATATTTCCTTTTTGGGGCCATTCATCCCAATATGACCCCTTGTGCCTGTTTACAGTTAATCCTGGTTCCCATCTCCACCCCTAGGCAGCCAATAATCTGTCCCTAGATTTGCTGCCAGTCCTGGCCATTTCATACAAATAAAATCATAATATGTAACTGGATTTTTGACAGGCTTCTTTCACAGTGTGGTTTTCAAGGTCCATCTGTGTTGTAGTGTGTGTGTGTCAGTACTTCATTCCTTTATGTGGCTGAATAATGTTCCATTGTATGGACAGACCACATTTTTTTATTTATGATCATTTGATGGACATTTCGGTTCTTTGAACTTTTTGGCACTCAAGAATAATGCTGCTATGAAGTTTTTATGTGAACATACGTTTTCAGTTCTCTTTGACAAATACCAAGGGATGGAATTCTGGGTCATATGATAATTCTATGGTTATTTATTTAGTTTGTTAATCCTCTCCTGAGGATATTTTTTCCATTGATTTTCAGAGAGAGTGGAAGGGAGGAGGATTGATGTGAGAGAGACATTTTGATTGGTTGCCTCCCTTATGCTCTGACCAGGGATGGAATCTGCCATCTAAATGTGTGCTAATAATAGCTATCCTAATGTGGTGTGAGGTGGTGTCTCATTTGGATTTTGATGTACGTCTCTCTGATGCTTAATGTGGAACATCTTTTCACATGATGGTTGGATATTTGTATATCTTCTTTAGAGAAGTATCCAGATTCTTTACTTTTTTGAATTGTAGGAATTTTAAAAACTTTTTATACTGGATACAAGTCCTTTATCAAATACATGTTTTTCAAATATTTTCTCAATCTGTAGCTTGTCTTTTTCCTTTTTTTAATGGTGTATTTTGAAGCACAGAAGATTTTAACTTAAGTCCAGTTTATCAATTTTTATGGAATTTTGCTGAAGACGTTTTATGACTTGAAATTCTTGAAGAGTGAGCCGAGGCCGGTTTGGCTCAATGGATAGAGCGTCGGCTTGGGGACTGAAAAGTCCCGGGTTCGATTCCGGTCAAGGGCATGTACCTTGGTTGCGGGCACATCCCCAGTAGGGGGTGTGCAAGAGGCAGCTGATCGATGACTCTCTCTCATCGATGTTTCTAACTATCTCTCTCCCTTCCTCTCTGTACAAAAAAAAAAAAAAAAAAAAAAGAAATTCTTGAAGAGTGAGATACCTTTTCCCTGAGAATTTAGGAATTCAGAAACAGATGAGCCCAGAAATGTACCTGCCTCTGGCTTCTGTTTCTAGCATCAGCAGTATGGGATTACTTGGTCTGAAATGTAGTGTGACAGAGTAAAAAACAAGAAACCCCCAAATAGTAGCAATTGCCCTCATTGCCACTTACTGACTAAAAGGAAAAGGCAAGAGGATTATCTCGGGAAGGCAGTGTGGCATGGCCAACAAACTTTGTGATTTGTAGTTGAATTGTTTTTTGACATGCAACCCTGCTGAGCAACTATTGGCAAAAGTCATATTATTCCCTAATGCTCCGTTTCCGCATATTTGGATGGAGCAGTGATGTCTACTCCCAGAATTCAGGGAGAGCAGGGCTTTGCTCTTCCGAGTTCCTTCTTAAGGCATCATTTCCCTTCAGATCGCTGATAGGAGACAATGTGGGAAATGAGCCCTTGACAGTCTTGGAGAAGCTGAGAGGCTTGGGCCACAGGGCAGGCATGTGAGAGAGGCTGGTTTGGCTGATGTCAAGGGAAGACCTTCCCACGACCTGAAGGGGTTTGAGGCCGCATTGTCTGAGGGGAAAGTTCCTGCCCACGCAGGCAGCTGGGGTTGACTCTCAGAAAGCCTTTGTAAGTGTGCTCAGTGGCATTAAGTACATTCACATTGTTGTCCGACCATCACCACCAAAAACCTCTAGAAATTTTTCACACCAAGCTGAATCGTACATTGTTTGTATTTTTGTGACTGGCTTGTTTCACTAAGCATGATGTTCTCAAGGTTCACCCATCTTGTAGTATTCGTCAGACTTTCCTTCCTTCTGGAAACTGAAAAGAGTTTCATTGCATGGATAGGCCACACTTGGTTTATCCATTGAAGATCCTTTTGATCCCTCTGTGTTTCTGGCCTGGAAACCTCAGGTCCAGACCCAGTTCCTGGGTGGTGTTTTTGTTTTCTGGGATTGTTTTATTTATATATATACTAACAGGGTCCTTTTGGGGGTCTCTCAGGGACTACCGTGCCATCCCGGAGCTGGACACCTACGAGGCTGACGGACTGGCCTTGGACGATGAGGATGTAGAGGAGCTGACGGCCAGTCAGAGGGAGGCGGCGGAGCGGGCCATGCGGCAGCGCGATCGCGAGGCTGGCCGGGGCCTGGGCCGCATGCGCCGTGGGCTCTTGTATGGTAGGTTGAGATGTCTACAACCCCAAGGGGACCGGTCCTGTTGTCAGAGCCTCTGGGAGCTGGGGAGGAGTGCTGGGGAAGACTTCACTGTAGGCTGTCTCTTTCGTCCCCAGACAGCGATGAAGAGGATGAGGATCGCCCCGCCCGGAAACGCCGCCTTGTGGAGCGGGCCACGGAAGACGGTGAGGAGGACGAGATGATCGAGAGCATCGAGAACCTAGAGGACCTTAAGGGCCACTCTGTGCGCGAGTGGGTGAGCATGGCCGGCCCCCGACTGGAGATCCACCACCGCTTCAAGAATTTCCTGCGCACCCATGTGGACAGCCACGGCCACAATGTCTTCAAGGAGCGCATCAGTGACATGTGCAAAGGTTTGGCTTCTGTATTCTGCCAAAGGTTGGGCCTCTGCTCACCGTGGTCCACCTTGCAAAACTCTCCTGCAGAAAATTACCACTTTGGCCCAGTAATAGCACATTTAATGGTGACATGGAGTGTAGGGGACATTAAATAACTTTCCTGTTGCTGGTCAGGAGCTAGGACCTGGTGCCCACGATGTCCATGTTTCAGACAAATACAAAAAGTATTGTGAGTCTGCACTAGGACAGTCCAGCTGATTGTCCAAGGAGTAAATCTGTACCACAGAAGTGTATTTCTTTTTTTCTTTTTTTAATATATTTTATTGATTTTTTTTACAGAGAGGAAATGAGAGAGTTAGAAACGTCAATGAGAGAGAAATATTGATCTGTTGCCCCCCCCCTTATACCCCCCCCACTCTTGGGATGTGCCCACAACTAAGGTACATGCCCTTGACCGGAATCGAACCTGGGACCATCCACTGAGCCAAATGGTTTCTGCCAGAAGTGTATTTTTAACATGTTTAAAATTTGACACGTTTGCCTCACTGCCAGGTGGCTCAATTGGAGTGTTGTTCAGGACACCAAAAAGGTTGCTGGTTCGATTCCTGATCAGGGCATATACCTAGTTTGCAGGTTTGATCCCTTGTTGGGGCCCATACGGGAGGCAACCAATTGATGCTTCTCACGTCAGTGTTTCTATATCTCTCCCCCACTCCTCTCTCAAGTCAGTGAACATATCCTCAGGTGAGAATTAAAAAAAAATTTTTGTCAGGTTTTATGTAAAAAATTTGGATTACTACTTTGATTAGAAAGTAGCAGCATTTCTGTGGCACAGGGATTATTTTTAAAGGAGGCATGCTTGTTTCCTGCTGTCCCCTCCATTTGCTGAGCCTTACATTTGACACAAGTTTATTTTTTGGTTTCCTTCCTGGTCCTTATAGGCATTTCAAGTTTCAGCCCTGCTGTATCAGCCATTCTGTGTGTATTATTTTACTTAATTCTCCCAGCGACTTCCTCATTTTACAGATTGGAAAGGACTCAGGATGTGTCAGGGAATCTAAGTCACATGGTTAAAGCAAGGTGGACTTAGCAGTCAGAGCTGGGCTTTCTCTCCTCGCACGGTGAGACAGAAATCGCTTCCTCTGGCTTGATACCCAGTTTTATTCCCCTCTCTAGAGAACCGTGAGAGCCTGGTGGTGAACTATGAGGACCTGGCAGCCAGGGAGCATGTCCTGGCATACTTCCTGCCAGAGGCGCCAGCGGAGCTGCTACAGATCTTCGATGAGGCTGCTCTGGAGGTCGTGCTGGCCATGTACCCCAAGTACGACCGCATCACCAGCCACATCCACGTGCGCATCTCCCACCTGCCCCTGGTGGAGGAACTGCGCTCACTGAGGTGTGCTGAGGACAGGGCAGGGCCTGAGGGTCTGGTCCTTGGCACCCTATGGCTCCAGGCATCATTCAAGAGAGCTTTTCAGGGTGGTGGTGTGGGCGATGGCTGCGGCCAAGGAGAGGCCTCAGCCATGAGTTTGGCTTGCATGGGGTGGGGTACGATGGATCTGGTCGTGCCAGGCCCCAGATTTTCAGGATCTGATGTTGGAATGCTCTCTTATGCTGGCCTCACCTCTCCAGAGGGTGCGGGTCAAGCATCGGGGCTCCAGGCCTCTGAGGTGCCTTCTCATCTCCACAGGCAGCTGCACCTGAATCAGCTGATCCGTACCAGCGGAGTGGTGACCAGCTGCACAGGCGTCCTGCCTCAGCTCAGCATGGTCAAATACAACTGCAACAAGTGTAGCTTTGTGCTGGGGCCTTTCGCTCAGTCCCAGAACCAGGAGGTGAAGCCCGGCTCCTGTCCTGAGTGCCAGTCTGCTGGCCCCTTTGAGGTCAACATGGAAGAGGTGAGCAAGCACGCAGCACCGGCTGCTGTCTGTCCCTGTCTCGGGTCCCTGGTATGAATGAAGGGCCTGCCTGACATTTTAGGCAGTTTGGAAAACTAGCATGGGCAGCAGAGGGAAGCAAGAAGGTATTGTGTATTAGCCATGCCATAGGGCAAAGCTCATCTGTCTGGCCAGCCTGTTTAGTTTTGCCCACCAGATTTTTTAAAAAATTCAAGCCAATATTTAAAAACTGATTTTGTTTAAAGCATCAAAGATGATGGCTTCTTTGAGGATTATTTCTAGAGTATTTTCCAGATGCCTGGTGAAACATATGTAGTCTTCCTCTGCCCTCTAAGACAGGTACTATTACCCCTTTTTGCCAATGAAGAAATTGGCTAGGGTCACCCAGCCAGGAAGTGACTCAAAAGATTAGAAGGTCTCTATAAACTGCTGTATTACGTGGTCGGGGTCAGGTGACATCATTCAGTGCTTGAAGAAGTGTGAAGTGTGCCCCACGGGGACATGTGCCATGACTGTTTGTCTTTTGCAGACCATCTATCAGAACTACCAGCGCATCCGCATTCAGGAGAGTCCCGGCAAAGTGGCGGCCGGCCGGCTGCCCCGCTCCAAGGATGCTATCCTCCTCGCCGATCTGGTGGACAGCTGCAAGCCAGGAGACGAGATAGTACGTGGCCAGGAGCGGGCTGGGAGGGAACTGAGTTGCTAAGGAGATTTGTGGTGGACTGAGGGAGGGGTTGATGGCAGATGGGGAAAGTGGGCTAAGTTCTTAAGTGACCCTTATACTGGATTGAAGACTATAGTTGTGCTTTGGTTTTGTTGAGTTTCTCATCTTGATGTCGGTAGCATGGAGGACTTAAAGGAGAAGCAACTGGGTGAAGCCAGGGGTGGAGGTAGGCCCAGCTCCCACTGTGACCCCGGGACTGGCCCCTCTGACCACATTGTCTGCCTTTTCCCAGGAGCTGACCGGCATCTACCACAACAACTACGATGGCTCTCTCAACACGGCCAATGGCTTCCCCGTTTTTGCCACGGTCATCTTAGCCAACCACATAGCCAAGAAGGACAACAAGGTTGCCGTGGGGGAACTGACCGACGAAGATGTGAAGATGATCATCAGCCTCTCCAAGGACCAGCAGATCGGGGAGAAGGCAAGTTGAAGTCTTGCAGGGCTACTGGGCTCTGCAAGGAATCCAGGGGCTCGTGGGGGTGTTGTGGGTACACAGGGCTCACTGCCCTAGCCTTGGCTACTACTCCAGGCTGCCCTGAAACCTTAGTCTTTCTTATTTCCAGGTATTGGAAACTGGAGTTCTCTTATTTTACTCTCAGTAGCAGCTCAGTAAACTTGCCAGGGGGAGAGCATAAATGTTGGTGAGATTGGCCTGAGCCTATGTCCCCACCCAGATAGGACAGGGTTGTAGGATTTACCAGATCATGTAGAGCCCATATGAAATTGAAAGGGAAGAGAGCAATAGCAATAACTTGTCTCAGGTAGGCGTCCCCTGGTGTCAGGCGCCTGCCCACAGTCTTCTCCAGGTAGAGCACTACCACAATATGGTTTTGGTTCCTTTATGTAGACATTTTCACTGAAGGTTGAGATAAAGGGGATTGCCATTGTAGACACAACGATAACAAATAGAATGTTAAATTTCTATTCATATAATCCTCTCCCATTGTACCTGCTTAGGTGTCACCAGCTGCCAAGTTCTTACTGTTCTCAGGACCAGAATTCTCTTAATTTTTCCCCTCCTTTCCTCTCTCTGCTTCACTCTCCATTTCTGTTCAGTTTTTAATGCCAAACAGTTTGGCTGTCTCTCTGGTCTCTGCTTTTCTGCTTAAGTTGGCCTGTTACTTTCCAAGAGGAACTGAGTTAGCCACAGGGCACAGTGGGCAGTGTAGGTAATAACACAGTTGCCCCTTTCCCTACTGCCCCATAGGGAGGCAGGGTATCAGCTTGGGAACCTGCTATCAACAAGCAGGATGCAGGCTGCTCATGGTCCTGGAGGGAGACATGAGTTCATGCTGTAGGGCTGCCCGTACAGAAACAGCTCTCAGGAGCGATCTGGATAGAGTTCAGGACCAACAGCACAAGGTGTGTAGGAGGATAGGAAATCTGGGGCAGAGTGTCTTCCAATATCCCCAATGCAGATGAGGGTGTAGTAAACAAATTGTTATATGTATCCAGTCTGCTTGGCACTGTTTAGGTACCAAGGTAATATCCAGATAGGTTAGGTCAGTGGTCGGCAAACTCATTAGTCAACAGAGCCAAATATCAACAGTACAACAATTGAAATTTCTTTTGAGAGCCAAATTTTTTAAACTTAAACTTCTTCTAATGCCACTTCTTCAAAATAGACTCGCCCAGGCCATGGTATTTTGTGGAAGAGCCACACCCAAGGGGCCAAAGAGCCACATGTGGCTCGCAAGCCGCAGTTTGCCAACCATGGGATTAGGTAATTTCCGGATAGTAACAACTGTTTCTGTGCTATGATCCTGTAATCGGGATGTATCTGTGTGCATTTTATTGATGAATAAACTAAGGCACAAGGTTAAGTAAGTCACCCACATCACATAGTTAACAAATGGCAGAGCCAGGATTTCTACCCAGGCAGTCTGGCCTCAGAGACTTCCAATGACTGTACTCTGCTCCCTCCATGCAGTAACCAGAGTTTTGTAGGATGCATGTGTATTTGGTAATTGTATGTTCTGTGGGGTACCCTAGCACAGGTCCTGATCTATATTTTAAAATTTTATTACAGAAATTTTCAGATGTGTGTATGGAATGGTATCATGAACCCTTATACATCCCTCACTCAGTTTCACCAGTTGTCCCAGTCTGGCCAAGCTTGTTTCCTCTGTGTTTGCACTCCCTCTCAAGTATTTCCAAGGAAATACCAGCATTTTATCTGTAACTATATTAGCATGTGTCTCTAAAAAACTCTACTAAAACCAAATCACAATACCATCATCACACTTAAAAATAATTAGCAATTCCTATCAGTTATTTGGCTGATGTTGGCATTTCCATGATTGAAAAGATGTAGGTTTTAATGTTGTGGAGGTTTCTGTGCTATGATTATTGCAGGCTTCTCCAGACCTGGAATCAGCTATTTCTCCAAACAACCCTGTGAGAAATATTCTTTCCTTTGGGAAACGGTATTTGGAGACATCTGCCTATAGATGCACTAGGCCTGGACCACTGTGAGCCACTAATGTTAACAGTGCTAACAGCCTCTGCTTGGACTGGGGATTGCAGTAAATTTTAGGGTCAAAGAAAGAACAAAAAAAGAAGCAGTGTTGTAGAAACAGACCTCTACTCCTAACTAATAAAATAGTGGCAGGAGGCATTTCTGGTACCAGCAGCACTGTTACCAGCAGATCCTGTTTCCAGAAGGTTCTGCGGTCTCTGTTGGAGAGAGGCCATACACAGAATAGATTGCTGACCCCAGCCCCAGTTCCCAGAAATGGGTTTTCCTCATCTCCGTGCTTTCAGGGAGGCCAGAAGGAGTAACTCTTCCACTTGGCTGGTGGCTGAGACAAGACAACTGGATCCAGCACTGTGAGGGTGGGTCTCCCTCAGCACTTCTAGTGCTGATTTCCTGACAGAGTCTCATCCTGGGGCCTGGCGCTTCCCACACCACTCAGTCTGACCTGTGAGGATACAGTGCTTTGCAGAATGTGGAAAGGTTGAGAATAATGAAGGCACAACCATGCCATAGGTGGAAGCTGACTTCCGTCAGCAAGATGTGTCTCTAGTTTCATCTTAACATTTAGCAGATTTTGCATTCTCTCTCATATTCTCTCTCTCTCTCCCCCTCCTCTTTCTCTCCCTCTCTCTCTCTCTCTCTCTCTCTCTCTCTCTCTCTCTCTCACACACACACACACACACACACACACACACACACACACACACAAATGGAAAACGTTTCAGTGACTCACCAGTTGAAATTACCTGAGTTCCTGGTAGCTGCGTTTCCCTGAAGCTCTGTATTTATATATTTCAGTACATCATCTGTATGTTGCATTATGTGCTTATCACCCAAAGTTTAGTCTCCTTCCATCACCATATATTTGACCACCTTTACCCTCTTCAACCTCCCCTTACCGCCTTCCCACTGGTAACCATCATACTGTTGTCTCTGTCATTGAGTTTTCTTTATTGTTTTGTTTGTTCATTTGTTGCTTTCTGTTTTCTGTCCAACATATGAGTAAAATCTTATGATTCTTCACTTTTTCTGTCTGATTTATTTTGCTTAGCATGATATATATATATATATATATATATATATATATATATATATAATTGTTTTTTTACAGAGAGGAAGGGAGAGAGATAGAGAGCTAGAAACGTCGATGAGAGAAACATCGACCAGCTGCCTCTTGCACACCCCCTACCGGGGATGTGCCCACAACCAATATACATGCCCTTGACCGGAATCGAACCTAGGACCTTTCAGTCCGCAGACCAACGCTCTGCCAATGAGCCAAAACGGTTTCGGCAGCATGATATTCTGAATATCCACCCATGTTGTCTGAAATGGCAGTATTTCATCCTTTCTTATGGCTGACTTGTTTTCATTCTATTATTTTTATGTACCACATCTTCGTTCACTCATCCATTGAAGGACACTTAATGCCGTTTTCGGCTTTGTATTATATTTCTCCATCAGAGGCTGACCACAAAGCTCATGTGAGAACCTGGGTTTTGTCTCCTTCCTGCTTTTGATCTGCAACCTTGGGGTAGTCTTTTTTAAGTTAGGTCAACACAAAGGGGGCTGACCAAAGTTCTTTTAAGCATTAAATTCTGTGATTCTCATGAAGAGCCACCAATGGCAAGGCCAATAGTCGTAAGGTCGGGCTTAAGGCCAGACCTGGTGGAATCGAAGCAGATGTAGTGTGGGTGCTTTTGGGCTGGGCTTCTCCATCCCTAAGATGGAACAGGGTGGTTATCTGCCCAGACTCCAGAGCAGAGTTTCTATTCCCATGGCGCTCTCCCTTCCTTCTTCAGATCTTTGCCAGTATTGCTCCCTCCATCTACGGGCACGAAGACATCAAGAGAGGCCTGGCGCTGGCTCTGTTCGGAGGGGAGCCCAAAAACCCAGGTGAGAAGCCTCTGCGGGGAATTTAGTGGGAGCCAGATTCTAGATACCAGACAAGGCAGGACTCTGTGTGTAAAGCTTGCTAAGAGGTGGCCAGACCATGTGTGGCTCAGTCATCACAGGTAGAACATAGCCCATGGCATGGCATCTTGGGGCATCACCATGCCCCTGGCTCTACCATTGTCTTCCTTTTGTGATGAGCAAATTCATCTTTGCTTCACTCCTATTTTTAAACTTTATCTTTTAAAAAGTTGTTTCAACTTAAAAATACATGAATTTTTACTTATATTACATCCTCTTCTTAAATAATTAGAAGTTAGAGAAAAGCCAAAGTCACTGTCGACCACCCTTTAAAAAAAAAAAAAAAAAAAAAAAAAAAATATATATATATATATATATATATATATATATATATATATTATTGATTTTTTTACAGAGAGGAAAGGAGAGCGATAGAGAGTCAGAAACATCAATGAGAGAGAAACATTGATGAGCTGCCTCCTGCACACCCCCTTCTACTGGGGATGTGACCGTAACCAAGGTGCATGCCCTTGACCAGAATCAAACCTGGGGCCTTTCAGTCCGAAGGCTGACGCTCTATCCACTGAGCCAAACCAGTCAGGGCAACCACCCTTTTTAATTCTAGTTCTCTCCCTTTAGGTCACTCTTCTGGCCTTTGTGGTTTGTGTACTCCCAGACTTTTGTGTGACTATTCATAGGTTTAGCACACATACTTAGAAAACACAGGATTTCACACACAAATGCATGTTTCTCTTTACAGTTCCTGTATGTCTGTATAAGTGAATATGCATAAAGTATCCATCTTTTTCTCACTCAAGAAACACATCTTTGTTATCTTTTGGTATTAGTGCATACTGAGCAAGTTCATTCTTTTAAATTACTGTATGTAATTTAAATTAAATCATGGTCCATATTGCAGAATGTATTTGGTTATCTTTCTAGTTGGAGAACATTTAAGTTGCTTCCAGTTTTTTACATTTACAAAGAACATATTTATATACACCTCCTATGTACCCATTTTTCTGGGATCATTGCTCAGTAGTGGGATTGCTAATCCTAGAGTATTGCAACCCTTTCTGGAGAGAATATTTCTTTGCCATTCATAATAGGCTAAGAAACTGGAGATAAGCCCTATACCCCTTACCTTCCTTTCATCTCCACTCCCTCTTCTTCCATCCTTGCCTGCAGGGGGCAAGCACAAGGTGCGAGGTGACATCAATGTGCTCTTATGCGGAGATCCTGGCACAGCCAAGTCTCAGTTCCTCAAATATGTTGAGAAAGTGTCTAGCCGTGCCATCTTCACCACCGGCCAGGGGGCTTCAGCTGTGGGCCTCACAGCATATGTCCAGCGGCACCCTGTCAGCAGGGAGTGGACCTTAGAAGCTGGAGCCCTGGTTCTTGCTGACCGAGGAGTATGTCTCATCGATGAATTTGACAAGGTGGGCTCTGGACCTTGTGGGTGATGGACTCAGGGTGTGTTGGCTTAGCCCACAGTGGAGGATAAGTGTTAGTGAGGCATATCATGGAGAATCGTGCATTTGACTCTTGCAGATGAATGACCAGGACAGAACCAGCATTCATGAAGCCATGGAACAGCAGAGTATCTCCATCTCGAAGGCTGGCATCGTTACCTCACTACAGGCTCGCTGCACCGTCATTGCCGCTGCCAACCCCATAGGTATACCAGGCACACTAGCTGGCAGGGCTCAGGGCCTGCTAAAGGAGACAAGACCCAGAGAGACCCTGCTTTGGGGAATCAGGCACCCACAGCACCCCTCCTTCAGTCCCAGATCTGAGTTAGGCAGCAAAAGGCGATTCTTTCTCACGTGGCCTGCCAGAGCGGGAAGTGATGTGCTTGCATTTTTGTTGAGCCATGTTCTCAGAACCACCCATGGCCATTCTTAGAACACCTGAGAGAAGAATTTAGGTCATTGTCTAAGTGTGGGAGGAGTGGTTGCTAAACCCAGCCAGCAAGAGCTTAGAGAGCCCGGGCACCCTCGCCTGTCTGGTTGGCTGTTCCTGCCGGGAGACAGGGATGCTTTCTGTCTCGAGGCTATTTCAGTCTGTTGCTCAGGAAAAGCCTCTGTCTCTTGTCCAGACCACCTCAGACAGCAGGCGCTGGATCTCCACCTTCTTCTAGTTCCTCTGCCAAAGTGCCCTTCCCCTCTGTCACTGAAGCAACTTGGGGTTGGAGAGAACTTTCTATGGCTCAAGAAGAGAGTATGTGCGGGAACATGAACCCTGATAGCTTCCTTTGTGTTTCAGGCGGCCGCTATGACCCCTCACTGACCTTCTCAGAAAACGTGGACCTCACGGAGCCTATCATTTCCCGTTTCGACATCCTGTGTGTGGTGAGGGACACAGTGGACCCCGTGCAGGTACACAGTCATCTGTCCCAGCTTCCATGCAGCAAGTTCTGGGAACCTCCATGAGGCTTGGGGCCTGTGGTGTGCCAGGCATGAGGAAAGGGGGCACCACCTGGACTTTGGTGTGTTTTCCATTCTTGCTCTTATGTCCAGAAGTCAACCTTGATTTCTGTTTCCTTCACCGGTCCCTCTTCCTGTTGTCTACCCAACACAGTCCACAATCTGCCACCAACTTCTATTGTTCCCAGTGCCAGAGTTCACTGCTGCTTTTCTTGCTCTGATTGAAGTACTGTGGTGTCCCGAGGCTAATCTCCTGGCTTCCGCTCATGCCCAGTTTAGACCTCCAGTTAGAAGCCAGCCTGTCCTTTGAAAGCATAAGTCAGGTCATGCCTTTCCTTCTTAAGAACCTGCTAGCAGCTTTCCCTGTAACCATCAGAGAATCCACCATCCTTGCTGTGGCTGCCAGCCTAAAAGATCTCTGCACTTATCTCTTCTTCCTTTCCTCACTTCATCCACACCTTAAAGATGCCAGAGCTTCCAACTTGCTCTTTTTCCTTCCTGGATTGCTCTTCTGTGGGACTGTCAGATGACAGAAGTATTCTAGCAACCTCACCTGGAGAAGTCTCCTTACGCCCTCACTCATTGCCTGTCTTCTCTTCTTAGCACCTGTTACTTTCTGTAATTAATTTAAAAACTCTTTCTTTTCTACCCTCCCTGGGAGTTGAGCTCCATGAGAGAGCGTGGTCACATTTACCAATGGACCCGGGTATCTGGAGCTGCCTAGCACATAGAAGGCTTGGGATATAAGTATTGAGAGAACGTTCTTCTGAAGCATATCAGCCTGCACTTCTTCCAGGTAGCTGACTTCTCCCAGCCAGGCTACAAGACTCTCCCTGTGACCTGCCCTCTTCCACCTTGCCTTAGGATGAGATGCTGGCCCGTTTCGTGGTCGGGAGCCACGTCAGACACCACCCCAGTAACAAGGAGGAGGAGAGGCTGGGCAGCACCCCAGAACCCACCATGCCCAACACATTCGGCGTGGAGCCTCTGCCGCAGGATGTCCTGAAGAAGTACATCATCTATGCCAAGGAGAAAGTCCACCCGAAGCTCAATCAGATGGACCAGGATAAGGTGGCCAAGATGTACAGCGACCTGAGGAAAGAATCCATGGTGCGGGCCCTGGAAGCCGGAGGGCAGGCTGGGGTTGGGTGGGGCAGGAAATAGGTGGCAGCTTTCTCATCCTTGTACTCAGTTAATCCAAAAAGTGCTAAAGCAGGAGCCCTTATAAAGGAAACGTACATACCTTATACCCGAAGTGTTTTGTTTTAGATGTCACTTAATGTGTGCGTGCATTTGTCTCTGTGGGTATAGGACCAATGTCTTTTAATGACCAAGTTCTTTTGATGGCCACTGATTAAGTTCCATGTTGACTTTGCATAAATCTCACCAAATCATCAGGTGCTCTGAGCTGGTTTTGGTTCTCTTATGGTAGGAAGAGGATTTAAAGGCAGCGTGCAAGCATTTGGAATACAGAATTCTTGTAGACTGGTCCTTCTCACACACCTAGTCAGACCACAACCTTTTTCTTTCTTTTTTTAACCTTTTCATCAAGTCTTCTCAGAGCATTCAACTTAGTTTTCATAGAAACAACAGCTTATTTTCTCTACGTTGTACATGCCAGTAGCAAGGACAGCTGGAATGCGTATAAGTGAACGGTTGGAGGCAAAATGTACAGGTATGATAGTGGCAGGCCATGGCATAGGCATCCCCTGGCCACCACCACACTTCAAGGAATAGAAAGTGAGCTCACCTGCTGGCTCTGTTGAGCATTCTGCCATGGGGTGATGAGATATGCCCTCTGGGTTTGGGCTTTTAGCATTGCCGCTATTGCTCCCCTGGCCTCTTCTGAGAAGATCTGACGCTATCCTCTCCAGGCGACAGGCAGCATCCCCATCACAGTACGGCACATCGAGTCCATGATCCGCATGGCAGAGGCCCACGCACGCATCCACCTGCGGGACTATGTGATCGAGGATGACGTCAACATGGCCATCCGTGTGATGCTGGAGAGCTTCATCGACACGCAGAAGTTCAGTGTCATGCGCAGCATGCGGAAGGTGGGTGTGCACTGAGGTGGGTTCCTTAGGAGGGAAGCTACATGGGCATCTCGAGACACTGGCTTTGCTGTGCTGCTTAGCTGCTCTTGCTGGTGGTGAGGAAGCATGGGGAGAGTGGGATGACCACATCCCTTATTTCTGAGTTTCCTGGTAGCTGGAGATGGTGATTTTTTTGCTCTTGTCTCATGCAGACCTTTGCCCGCTACCTTTCATTCCGACGTGATAACAATGAGCTGTTGCTCTTCATACTCAAGCAGTTAGTGGCAGAGCAGGTGACGTATCAACGCAACCGCTTTGGGGCCCAGCAGGACACTATTGAAGTGCCTGAGAAGGACTTGGTGGACAAGGTACGGGCACAGATGGGAGGGGAGGGCAGGGTTGGCTAGCTGGGGAGCTGTCAGTCATCTTTGGGGACAGAAGGTCCTTGCTCTGTCAGTGAGTGGGTGGGCATCGGATGAAAGCCATTTATTGGGTGTTTGTAATGAACTGAATTCTGTTCATACATTTATAATTTTGACAGCAGCCAAAAGAGATTAAATCCTGTTACTGATATCTCATCTTACAGAGGAAACATCATAGGGTACTGAGTAGCTCTCCTGAGCCCACAGGCAGTTGACAGAGCTCATATGGCAAGCCTGTGTCTAGCTCCAGACCCTGACACAGCCAGCCTCTGCCCTGGTTGGCTTTCCCTATAATGGAGATGGGAGCCCTGCCCAGCCTGCGGTGCATGGACCTTAGAAAGTGAACTGAACCCAAGGCTACATGGACGTGGGCATTTTGGAATCCATTTCCACGGCTCACTTGACTTTTTCTCCCTTTAGGCCCGTCAGATCAACATCCACAACCTCTCTGCCTTTTATGACAGTGAGCTCTTTCGGATGAACAAGTTCAGCCATGACGTGAAGCAGAAGATAATCCTCCAGCAGTTCTGAGCCTCCACAGCAGCTTCCTCGTTCTGGCTGGGAAGTCTGTCCATGCTCACTGCACCCCATGCTTCAAGGATACGAAACCCAACTGTGGGGGGCAGAGAGTGGTGGGGCCAGGTCTGGCAGTTGAACTATCTGGCTTCCCCAGGCTGCTGGGCTTGGGTTGTGGCTGGGAACGTTGCTGTTTATTTCTTAGGCTCCTTTTCTGCTTCTCTCACCATCACGGGTGGGCACGCTTTGCCAATGTTTCTTTTCAACTGCCCAGTAACCCACCATTTATGGGAGGTCTGCCACCACTTCATTCTGGATTGAGTCTAGTGTGTTTAAGATACAGCCTTTTAGGTGACTAAGCATATAAGGGTTTTACGAGAACTGTTGCCTTCTTGGCTTGAGTTCTATATCCTGGCTGCTTTGGCCACTTTGGCTAAAGAGCAAGTTCAAGGTATAGGTAGTGCTCTTCTGAACTTCGTTCTGCACACCGAGGCTTCTGTGTGTGGGTAGGCTTCTGTGAGTGGAGACATTGAGTGGGTAGGAAAATGCCCCAACCCCTCTACCCTCTGTGATGACACAGCTTGGTTTCCTAAAGGAGAAAGGGGTTGATATGCTAATGAGGACCACTGTTCATATGGCTTACCCTTGCTGTGTTGATCATTTTCTCCTATCTAATAATTTCCCTGCTTTCTCGTTGTTTGTACATTTAATTTCTGTTTCTGTGGTTTAAATTTTTAATAAAGTCTAAATACTTTTATCTGTTGATCTCAATTCTGTCTTTATATAATAGCCTGGGCTGAAACACAGCTGAGCCTAGATGTTGTCTCTAGTTGACCAAAACTGTCACTGGTCAACAGACCAGAGGCTTTTTTTTTTTTGTAATCCCCTCCCAAGGATATATTTTTATTGATTTTCATAGAGAGAAAGAAACCTCAATGTGACAGAGTAACATCAACCAGTTCCTCCTGACCCAGTATCAAACCTGCAACCTAGGTATGTGCCCTGACCAGGAATTAAACCTGAAACCACTGCTGCATGGGAAGATGCTCCAACTCACTGAGCCACCTGGCCAGCACAGACCCAAGGCTTTGTTCCTGATTATTTGGTATGGACCAGAACTTCATTGTCCTGAGAGCATAATGCTTAAGGGAGTGGTCATGCAAGGGACAATGAGAAGGCGAGTCAGGGTACTGAATGGGGCCAGTTTGAATCAGCTATCTGTCCGTTTCCCCATTCTACTTGTCAAGGAATGTTCCTAACTTCTTACTATCCTGCCTCACCTAGAAAGTGAGATGTGCTACCCTCCCTGAACATGGATGTGCTCTTGTCCACCCTCCCAGAAACTCTCCAAAGCCCTTTAGTTAGGGCTATTTATGAGTCTTCATTAGGTAGACATGATAATTAAATCACTGGCCATTAGTGATGAGCTCAACCTCCAAACCCTCTCCTCCTGAGAGGTCAGGGGCTGAGGATAAGACCTCCAAACCTCCAATCACAAGGTTGGTTCCCCTGGCAACCAGGCCCCATCCTTAGGGGCTTTCCTAAAGTCACCTCCTTAACGTAAACTCAGGTGTGGTTGAAAGGGATTTGTTATGAACAACAAAACACATCACCATTACTACTCCAGAGCTGGTTCAGGAGACATGATAAAACCCAAATGTTACAGCAAATGATGTTTCTATGGTTCTTATCACTTAAGAAATTACAAGGGTGTTAGGAGTTCTGACAAGGAGCTGAAACATAAACCAAAATACCCATTTCTGATTCTATGATAATATCACACAGGCCTAACAAGGCCTCTCATCTGACTGTAGTAAGACAGCTCTTGAAGGCTGTAAGCAGGAAAGGAACATGGTCCATTGTATTTAAAAAATGACCCCATCTGGTTACTGTAACTTGTACTGAAGAGAGAAAAGAAGGAAGAGTTGAGTGGAAGTCTGGTGTAGTCTAGAGATGGCGGTGGTCTGGACTTGGGTTGGGGAAACTGGACATACTTTAGATGTATTCTGTGTAGATTAGATAAGAGTTAGTGATAAACTAAAAATGGGAGAAAAGAAGAAACCATGGATGATCAGTTTCTAGCTTGAGAAACAGGTTGAAGTTTAGTAGGGATAACCAAGAATTTCATTTTAGACATGTTGGCTAGAAATGCCTTTCAGATATTCAAGTAGAAATGTGAACTTCAAAGACAGATTTGAGTTTGGATTGCTGAGAATAAGTTTGGGCACGAGCTATAACTCACTGTCAGCTGTCAGAGAGAGAAATGATTGCTGAAGGAAACTTGAGTGTCCACCATTTGAACCAGCAAAGGACTCTTAGGCTTGGGCAGAAGGTGGGAGGAAAACTAGGGGAGAGGGTGTTTATGGAAGCCAGAAGAAAAGAATTCAAGGAGATTGAGGTCAGTTTGGGCCAATGTAGCTGAAAGATCAGAAAATAACAAACCTGTCCATTGTACTATGTTTCACTGAATATAAGGTGCCACTTAGTATAAGAATCACCATTATTTTATGTGCAACTAAGGCAAAAATGCTAACATTTAGAATGATTAGATGTCATCAACCATAAAACATCTCATTGTAGAGATGTTGGGAAAATTTTTAAATGCGCATCTCAAGGTAAAACATGGTTTTGTGGTACTGTGGAGGTTGGTGATGACTGATGAGCAGTTTCAATGCAGTGTGAGTAGAATAAAGGAAGTTAAAAAGTAGAAATTGTATATGTAAGAACTTGAAAAGTTTGGTTCTGAAGTGAAATAGGACAGCTGGCAAGGCACACAGATCAACGGAAAGCTTTTGGTATTTAGGATTGAACAACTGAATTTTTTACTCATGCAATAAAAGGTTTTTTTAAATATATATTTTATTGATTTTTTTTTTTTTTTACAGAGAGGAAGAGAGAAGAATAGTTAGAAATATTGATGAAAGAGAAACACCTATCAGCTGCCTCCTGCACACCTCCTACTGGGGATGTGCCCGCAACCAAGGTCCATGCCCTTGACCGGAATCAAACCTGGGAACTTTCAGTCCACAGGCTGATGCTCTATCCACTGAGCCAAACCTGTTAGGGCAATAAAAGTTTATTAATAGACTAACCTGGAAGATAATTTTGAGTGAAAAAATAAAATGCCAAAAATGTGGTATCAAATATTTAAAATTTTAAAATATAACGATACCACATACTGTTTATGTATGTGTTAAGTATGTTAAAGATAACATAAAAGTTATGCTTGTGTATTCTTGTTTTCTTTCATATCAGGTTTATTGAGCTATAATTTACATATATCATTTTAAACTTATTTATTTATCTTTACTTTTTTTATTAAATTATTATTTTTGTACATATACCAATGCTCCCCCCTGTCCCGTACATACTTAAACTTATTTATTTTAGAGAGATGAAAAGAGAAAGAAAGAGAGAGATAGGGAGGGAGAAACATGGATGTGAGACACATTTGGTTGTCTCCCGCACTTACCCAACTGGGGTCAGTGACGGAATTTGCAACAAAAGGTACCTGCCCTTGACCAGGTATTGACCCTGGTACTCTGGTCTGTGGGATGCACTACCCACTTAGCAATATGGGCCAGGCCTCTTTTATTTTAGTCATCTTAATGTGAAGTGGTTTCTCATTGTGATTTTGATGTGCATTTTCTTCATTTGCATGTTGATTGTGTATCTTCTTGGAGAACTATTAATAATTAATGTCGTTTTTAAACATTCGTTTAAAATCTTGCTTGGCGTTGACTTGTATTGACATAACCTTCAAACACGTGGTATCTACAGAACGTGTGAAGTGCAATTAACAAGTTTTGCTTGAAAAAGATTGTGTTTGGTTTGGTTTTTGTTGCAAAACTAGGGCTAAGAAGATGGCGGATGAAGAGCATATTCGGCACTGCATGCTTTACGAGTTCCAATTAGGAAGAAAAGCAAGTGATGCTGCAAAAAACATCTGTAGTGCTCTTGGTCAAGATGCAGTTAGCGCCAGAAAATGCCAGCGTTGGTTTGAGAAATTTCGCGAGGGAAATTTTTCGTTAGATGACAAGAGTGGTCGAGGCTGTGTGTCCAATTTTGATCAAGAAGCTCTTCAAGCTCTTTTGGTGCAAAATCCTCAAATTACCCAACAAGAGCTTGCGACAACTTTAAATTGTTCACCAAAAACAATTTCCAATCAATTGCATGCACTTGGCAAAGTCCAAAAGTTTGGAAAATGGGTTCCTCATGAGTTGACCGACAACAACCGTAATCAAAGAGTCACAATCTGCAGTTCGCTCCTCTCTCGTCAAAACCGTTTGCCGTTTTTAGAGCAAATTGTTACCGGAGATGAAAAATGGGTGCTGTATGTTAATTTGAAAAGGCGGCCTCAATGGTTGGACAAAAATGAGGCTCCGCAGCCCACGCCAAAACCTGACTTGCATGTGAAAAAAGTGATGTGTGTTTGGTGGAATTTTAAAGGAATTCTTCATTATGAACTTTTACCATCTAACCAAACCATTACAAGTGCAGTGTATAGTGCCCAATTGGAAAGGTTAGCCCAAGCTTTAAGAGAAAAAGAACCCGCGCTGATTAATCGGAAGGGCGTAATTCTTCACCACGATAACGCACGACCGCATACTACAAGAATCACTGCTGAAAAACTGCGCCAGTTGGAATGGGAAGTTCTCCTTCAACCTGCATATTCTCCTGATATTGCCCCTTCTGATTACCATTTGTTTCGTTCTTTGCAAAACTTTCTTCTTGGAAAAAAATTTAATAATGAAGAATGCCTCAAAAATGCATTGACCGAATTTTTTGCATCAAAATCACAAGAATTTTACAACAGAGGGATTAAAATGCTTCCTGAGCGTTGGGCACAAGTAGTAGAAAACAACGGCAACTATATTGTTGATTAAATTTTGTTGTATTGTTTAAATAAATTCGATTTAAAAAAAGGTATTAGAAAACGACATTAATTATTACTAGACCTAATATCTTCAGATTTTTGCCCATTTAAAAAAATTCAGTCATCTTTTTATTTTAAT